ATTTACTATGTTGATCTGGGAACAACACCAACACGACGATATCAGATTGTGCATTGATCTTTCAGCGACCCTCTGGCAACTTCTGGCTGTGAAGGAAAACAAATGTGTATTCTCCAACCGGTTGGTGAATGGTTGCTTGGAGTCATTAGGTGTTGGTTACTGCAACAAAAACCTCCTTGTGATTGCTTGAGGAGCTAGCAGGTTGCCAAAGTCAACAGCAGTTTGCATGGAAGCTGCTGACTTGTCTGCAAACACTTGCAAACTGCTTGCCAAAGCGTAGTAATGTTGAAGAGCATGATGTAAATTGTGCTACTTCAAAGTTAACTTTGAAACTTTTAATATGTGCTAGTCATAGCAGTATTGTGTTGCACTTTTTCAAGTTTGACTACAGCTCAGAGAGTAAAGGGGCAGGGTTTGTACAGTGGTCAAGCTGGTATCTTCCATAAAACTACAGCTGGCTGCAGAAATTTACTAGAAATCAAGTCACTCTTTGTAACTGATTTCACCTGATGATAGCCAGCCACCGAAAATACTTTTCAGTCTGTGAGGATAAAAAAAAAAACAACAACAACAACAAGAAAACAGACTTTGGCAAAGGAAAGAAAAACCAAAGCACCTGGCAAAATCTGACCGGGAATTTGTGAAACTAAAATGAAAAGATTTGATGAATCTGAGTAAAATCTGAAATGATTACAGAGTCAAACTGTCAAAATCAAGCCAGAAATTCATGAACAAAATCTATCATATTTGTACACTCATCGATTTTATTTCATAGGTTTATTAACAAATACAGAGTAAAATAATTTTGCCTTGTGTCTACATACATTTTGGTCCTTTTTCTTCACGTCTAATAAAAAGCAAAATTTATATTTTCACTTTCAGTTTTACTTTAGCCCTGTGGGTAAAATCCTGAGAAAAAGCTGACTGATAATCAAACTGCTGAAACAAAGCCAGTTGACAACAAACTGTGGTGGTGTTGGGGGAAAAAAAAATATCCCCAAACTTTCATTTGCCTGGTGAAAACCCCAAACTCTTTCTGCTTCAGTAAAAAACAAGCAGACAAAGTCGACTCAATTCAGTCAATTCAAAGACTGTGGCTTATCTTTTCTAGACATATTAGATTTGGCAAGTTGGGTGTAACCACCATCTGACTTAATGAAAGAAAAAAAAATACACAAATACAAACCCACAAAAACAAACTCAAGGTCATCTTATTAGATTTTCTCCTTAGCTTTCAACTTTGTCTTGCAGATTTCCTACAACTGATGACTGCGCAATCCCAGAAACCTCTCTTTAAGCTAATATTAAGGTGTTCTCCCAAATGCAACTGAAAGCTCAAGAAAAATAATCTAGTAAATGGACCTTGAGATAAGATTACTTTTCAAACTACTCTTTTTTTTTTTAAATTGTCGAAAAATAAATTAGCAGTCAATCAATATATTCACCACACACAAACAAGAAGTAATGAGCTTGGATCAAAAGTGTGGATTCAAGCTCAAAATATAATTTAAAACAATCAGAATGTTGCACGGTTTCATCTAACAATCTAAAGTCAAACCAAACCATTTCTTAAAGATGTCGAGCCTGAAAGTGATTTTGGTCACCAAACACATCACAGGAGTATCAGTTTACACCCAGTGGAAATTCCCTTTAAAGTCACAGATAAATCAGGAAAGGGGAACTCAAGTCACTGGCAGTTTACACATTTACATGCAAGAAGGTCGTTGGGACATTATTGCACTGCATCTTACAGTCATTGCATATTTGGTCTTGTTGAGGTATACAGACACAAACATAAGAGTATTCATACATGCCAACATAACATAAGGGAGTCATTCAATGAAGATTACTACAATATTATGAGTAATGCATATGGCAGACTATGGTTTGGATAGAGTGCAAAGTGCGCAAGAAAATATGGTAGATGGAGAAAATAACAGGAACAGGCACGAGCAAATCAAACCCCCCCAATATTATTTCAACACAATTTTACCATTTCATCTGCTTTTTTGTCCATCAATGGAAGAGTCCCCAAATTTTTGGTTTCATTTGGGAAAATACAAAAACAACAAGGTAGCAAATGTGTTCATCATCCTCAAATAATGCATATCTACGAATATAAAAGTAGTGCATTGGCTCCCGAGTCGCCCCCGAAAATGCTAACTTCAGCTGACCCTTCCTCACCAAAAAAAATTTCTTGAGCTCAGAAAGTAAACAGCCTAAACCTGGAACTTAACTGGTTTCATTAGTCTTTATTTGGTTGTGTAGCTTACAGATGAAAATAATAAAACAGAAGTGTGCAGGAACCTGTACATTAATAGGAGTGTTAGTTCAACTCTAATATTTGGCTGATGGTTAATTATTGCTGGAAAGTTGTTTTTAGCCAACATTTCTATACTTATAAGGCACCATGGTCGACATATAGTAAAACTTTTTTTACAGCTTTACCCATTAAACACTTTGCTCGAATGTTCCCTAAAAGTCTGTCTTTCTCTAAAAAACAAACAATGTATTATGACCAACACACAGCAAGATGAATCCTACTGAAAAAAAAAAAAAACAGTGCCTGTGTGGTTATTTATTTAAAAACTCTACAACTTTTATTAATGTGCAACTCTTAAAGTGAACGTCCAAAATAAAAAGGAAAACCTTTTTACTGGTGAAGCCTGAAAGATTGGTATTAAACAACAAGCAGTGCTAACATACTAGATAAACGCCAACATTTTTGGCTATTAGCCAACCATTGGACCAACATGTTTTTGCACCGTGAACAAGCGAAGAACATGACCAACAGCCAATCAGACCAGGGGTTTAAACCTAAATCTGTGGCATACTGACAACCAACGCTCACTATCGACATCACGATCACTGTTTTGTTGTGACTGACCTTTAGAGGTGACAGAGTTGCTTGTGATGTAAACCATAGAAGAAAGTGGCAACCAGCCAAGAACAGTGATACTGTGATAGCTACATTTGCAGGTGGCCATTCTTCAGCAGTCAAAATAAAAAAAAAACACAAAATCTGAATCACACGTAACCAGTTGCTGGATTTGAGTTTGGCATTTTGGTTTTTATCGATATACAAATACGCACATCAAATCCAAAGGTTACTGAATTGCTTTAGGTTTAGGTTTCAGCATCAACAGAAGTTGAAAATGACAAAAACCCCCAAAACAATTAGCTGATATTTTCACACCAGTTAGATTCTGCTGATATCTTCAGATATTTGACACTCAGATTTAATTTGCTTAATGTTGCTGGTAGAGACAAGAGAACTGTAGCAGCCTTTTTTGACTATGGAACTGTTTTCCAGCAGTGGTGTTGAGGCACTTTCGGGAGCTGTGAGCTTGTGACTGCAGTGGCTGAGGATTTTGGAAGTTCAAAGAAAGGCTTACTGACTCCTGGAGGATTAGATGGATTTACTCCCCAACACACTGAAACAGAGGTAAGAAACCCAGGAGAGTGCAAATGTTTGTATGTCTATGAATAAATGCATTTTACTGAATGAATGAGATGATATTTCTCTTAAATCAGAATTATTTTTAAGACTTATTACAGACTCACATTTTGAGCCTTTCCACACCTCCATGAGTTACACCAGAACCCATGAAACCCTTTCTACATCCCAAATAAATTATTTTTGCTAACTCCCAATTTTCTGTAGCGAACACTCAACTTTGTTTCCAGAGCTCTTTGTGAGGCTGGAAATTCATCCCAAATCTAACAAATTAAATTCCACTCTGGTATAAATGAATTAATCACATTAAACATTTCTAGCTGAGTACTCCCAAACTTTTCTCACAGAGAATCCATGAATGCCAAATGTTCCTCTGACTCCCTCCGATTCTGCCTTACAGCTCTATTGGTTGTTGCTTTGCTGTGTCAACTTTCTTCCAGGAAGGAGGGGACATCGGTGCTGACGTTGTTGAGATGTTCTCCGGCCTCTTGGATGTTTTTCTCCAGGAAATGCTGACAGGACAAGCTGTGAGCTGCAAAGGCGCCGTGGAGCATCCACAGCTGATTACGGAGGACTTTGACCTGCATAGGAAAGAAAAAATAACACTTTTTTATTAACTGTGTTAGATGACACTACAATAATTTTACTCAATTCACATGTGGTTATTTAAGTTATTGTTATTCCAACTTAGAAACACTGCAGATTAGAAAGTTAGCTAAAACCCTAAACTATAACAGTGACACTGGATTGGGAATTTGTTGTACCAGCTATAAAAATGGTGCACATCGCTTTGTTTTAGCATCGTCTTGTCATTTAAATAAGAGTATTTTACTGGGGAAAAAACTGATCAACTGTTTTTATTATATAAACATTATTATTATCATCATCTCCTAATAAAAAGTAGTCATATCAACAAAATATGGCTTAATGTGACAGAATATTTTATAGTCGAATACTATGGGGAAAAAAATGCATGGAAACGATGAGAAACCTTAAAAGATGCTAAAAACTATTTCACTTGTCACATGGTTTCAGTCATACGTCGTCACCTCCATCTTTATTCCCTAACTTCAGATGCACGAGGTAAAGATCAATCCAATAATGTCACCTTGTTCCCCTCCAGCAGCTTGACTTTGACTGACAGGTCGTCTCGGAGCTTCTCGTACTTCTCCCTCTGAGTCTGGAAGTCTTTCTGGGCCTGCTCCAGTTTGGGCACGGTGACAGCATCACGGGGGCCCATGTTCAGCTCCTCCAGATCGACACGGAACGCATCATACTCGATCCTGGAAGACAGGAAATTGACACGGATGTGTGCACTGAAGCTCCCTGTTGTATTGTAGTGGTTAGGCATCTCTCATTTGATCTCAATTTCCTGCTGCGTGGGTGCAGAGATTAACCTCCCTGCTTCTTTCTGGTTGGATGTTAGTTTGATTGCAGAGTCACTGTCACAGCACATGAATTTATTGAGAAAGGGAAAAAGGAAGTGTGCTTTTTAACCCACCTGACAGTCTCATACTGCTTAGCATTGATCATTGTGTCTTCAATGGTTTTGTTGACCAGTGTGTTCATGTCAGATGTGAAGGCGTTGATGGCTTCCGTCAGCGTTTCGCCGCTCTTGGAGAGAAACCTCTGAGCGTCTGCATTTATGCCAAACTCCAGCTGGTATTTATATTACAAAGAAAATGTAAGGTAAGCATGATGCATAGAGACATAAAAGCCACATCAATGGGAACTATAGCTGGTTAAATGAACCTGAATCAACTGTTAGGTTAGTTTACAACCAGAAAAATGGCAAATCAGTTGAACCCGAGATCTTTAATGGCGATATCGTCCTCTGGATTCCAGTTTATGACTGGACAAGATATCAAAACATTTCTTAAAGATTTCTTAAGGTTTACATGGACTCTGTGTAGCTTTTTCCATATATTAAAGCCTTTTTATCACCAATTTCTTAAAATGCTGTAAAGCTTGTCTGACTCTCCCTGTAACAGCTTGAGAGATTTCAGTGTGAAGGACTGAAAATCTAATTTATGTGACGTTTGTGCTTCTTCCAAGTGCCCACAGTGAATAACGCTAGCTCACGCTAGCTATGTAGCCAGTGAATATTTGGAAGTCACAGCTCTCTCATTACATTTGGTTTCAAGATACCAAGATATTTAATGACGAAAGCTCTCAGATCTGGGCGTCACTGGATTTCACTATTTAATTATTATTATCATTAATATTATTTAATTAGTGAGGTCTTTCATACTGTCTGTGGTGGGGAACCAAACAATCTGTCTGCACTAGCAGGTAAACTAGCAGATTTCGACTTTTACTCCTTTATTGGCACTAATGTGGAAGTTATACCTGAGTGTTGACATCTATCATTCGGGAAAATATTTCAGCAAGTCACAATCAATATGACGACCAAAAACAGTAAACAATCAGGAGATTGTGTTTTTACAGCATAACTTGGGGATTTTTATATATAATCTTTGGACAAAGAAACTTAGAGTTCAGCATGTCACCAGCGCTGGATCTAGTAATTCTAAATACATCAAAGGTTACTGTATGTAATCCTGTTAGCATTAGCAGGTAGACTTAAAGTAGCAGCTTGTATCCCCAATACTTACGTGCAGAGTTGGGGTTTTGACGCTGAGTTCTGTGAAGGCATCCCCGAGGTTCTTCTGGGTAACTGTGAGCTGAGAGAGCTGACTGGCAAGCGTCTGAGCCAGACTGGTCATATTTTCATAGCGCTGTCGGTCGTCTTTGAGCAGCTCGAGGCGGGGCTCCAGGTCCAGATCCACGGTACGAGACCCACGGCCAAGCTTCTCCGAAAGAGCCTGCCTGGTATACTGTGGGGAGACCAGATCGATAGTAAAAGATTATATCTGGCACCAAAGTACAGTAACAGGAAGTCTAGTCAAAATCCTCCAACCTTATATTTGGTGATGCTCCAGTTGCGAACTCTTCTGAACTTCTCGCTGGCAGGGTTGCTGTTGTTACCTTGAATCACCACACCTTGGGGTATCTCAGGTGTGAGTGAGAAACCTGGAGTTGGGGTCAAAAATTTATATAATCATCAAGTCATATTCACTTGCAATGAAAATACAATGGAGTTCATCTGATGTTTTTAATGTTAATTATATTTAATGAACCTACCATTTACACAACGCATGACAAAGAAAAAGAAGTAATCATAATATTTCAATAATCTCTTTCAACTATTAAAATGTATGGATCAGACTGGATCTACAAAAGCTGTTAAAGTTATTAAAATGTTAACTTTTTGGACAGACACATAAATAATATTGCACTTCTCTATGAAAACACTTCAAATGTGCGTACAGTTACACTTCAGTATAGTGATGCTTGTGTCAGCAGCAATAACAGTGCATTTGATTGGATGCAACAGGAGTCTAATGACTTTGCTGCAGTTTTCACACTCTGGAGCGCCCTCTAGTGGACAAAGCTGAGCATCAAAATATCCTTAAAATACCTCAAGTAAAAATATTCTGTACGTGGAATCATATACATTACATTACTGGATGATTATTATTATTGACTAGGCAACGTGTATATCACTTGAATATTGCAGCTAGAGAGGATTTGAATTACGTGTACTGTGCTGGGTACATTTATGTCTAATAATATTTCTTCCCAATTTATTGGGAGAGTTGTATTTAAAAAACGCTAAATAAGAGTAACTAAAGATTTAAAATACGTGAGATGGAGTACAAAGCACAATAAAAGTACATTAAAACTTTATGCAAGGTACTTGAATAAACGGGCCAAATTATAGTCTACCAATGGACTGAAATATATCCTACACCACTGGCATTAGAGGTGGGTGGTGTTCAGCTGTAAGTCCTACACTTCTTTACCTTTGCTCTGCTTCTGTTCCTCTGGAACATCTGGAGTGGTCTCAGCTGTGGGGGCAGTAACATCGTTGCTGGCGTGGCTGCCATTACCGTTTGCTTCCTGTAAAAAACATCACTGTTTAATTAACGGCTTCTATCATTATACGGTCTACTGAGGACATGATGTGCCCAAGCAGCTTGTTGTATCTAAAAGTTACTTGCAGATCTCTTTGACCTTCTCAAAATTCAAATTTTGACTGGTCTGTGGGGTTAGACTGGTCTCAGTTATACTCGCAAATGAATCAAATGCAAATCAAGCAGTTTCAAACAATTGTTTTTGCTAGCAATCGATCACCTCCTTGATGCGAGGTTTTGGCATGTCTATGAATAACATGCACCTTACCCCATAGACTAGCTTAAGCCAAAGGCCCAGTGTTGAAACTTCTAACAATCTCCATTAACCAGTAGCACCCA